AAAAAACTTAAATATGTTAGTGTCTGCCATTATTGTGATGTGATAATGTTGATTAATTTGGTTAATTAGATTCAGTTTAGTGTAGTTAAGCTTCAATTAAATACAGTGAAGTGTGAAGCATTCCTTTGTGAAAGTGTTCTGCTGTAACTGGTATGGGCACTATGGTTTTTATTTTGTCTCTTTTGTGAAAGAGATATAAATACACATAATTATATATATAAAGTTATCTTGATTTCCTGAATGCGCAGTATAAGGGAGCATAAGCGGTGGACATATTAACATGTGTCTACCGTGGGTAGACGAGCATTATCCGTGTACTAAAAGGTATGTAACCATTAGATCATGATGTAAGGGCATCTCCAATGGTAATAGCCATTACTAGCTATATGGTTAGCTGATGTGGATGTGAGAGATAAGAAAAATAACTATTTTACACTAATGGACCCACGTACTCCTCTCACATGATCTTGGGCTACGTGAAATAGATAAGTTATTTGTTAGTAGCTAGTGACTACTCTCTCTTACTTTTCCCCTGTCCACGTCATAATAGTTAGCCAAATAGCTAACCATTGGAGACGCCTTAATCGTAAGAGATAGTTCTGTAATGGGACCGTAGTATCTTCCTTAATTATTTCACTTATTGACGGTTGATTTTATTTTTGAGTGCCTTGGAGCAAGCTGCTAAAAAGTCCAATCTATTCAAATATTAGTGAATTTCATATATTTGTGATTTTGGTGAATGATTTACATTTTCAAAAGCTTGTTTATTGAAGTCCTTTGCATAATTATAATCAGTAAAATTGGTTGTTAAAAGAGCATGTGAAAAAAACTGTAGATAACTTGGTGAAATTTTAGAACCACATGCTTCGCGATAGCAGCTTGACCTTGTCAGGACACAGGCTTATTCTCTTCCGATGAGCTGGCTCCATTGTTATAAGAATGACAAATCTTTACTAGTTCATGCTTATTGGCTTTGAAAAAATTTGATTTGCACCAATATTATGTTGCACACTGGCTGTTTAATTAAAATGGGAAAGCTATGAATTGAATTGGTATTTTCAGTCCTTAGCAATTTTAATTAAAGATTGGAACTATTATAGAACTTTAAAGTGAGAAGAGCATAGCCGAGGCGAGAAGATCTCTTTCTGCAAGACAAACACGCCCCATATAGTGCTGACAGTTGTCCCTAAAGATACAATGACAAAACGTCTCGGAAGCTATAGCACACCAGACTTTGGAGTTCCGACAAACTATAACAATGTCAGGAAATGAGCACACTTCAATATGATGCGTGAGATTTGAGAAAGTAATAAAATGAAGATGATGATCTTGTGTTTTTTGCTGCAACCTTTATACAGTTCCAACTCAGGTGAGAGAAACCACGAGTCACAGTCACCTGCCACTTAAGGTTGTTTACAACACTAATTGTTGCTGTAAAGGGCATCAAGACGGTCAAACTGTTTCTAGGGGTTAACACACCATTACTCCATATTTGGTGGAAGTGTCCTAAGAGCATCTTTGCACAACTCAATCTTTGAGACATGCGACAATTAGATCGACATACTTTTTTTTAGCTAACGACTCTTTCCTGGGATGAGATTTTTCTGAAGCATCCCAGGGGGCATCGGTGTGCAGCTAAACTTTATTTGTGCCGATCGGGCATGCTTTGCCGACAGCGGGGGCAGCTTGTAGTCTCGGCTGAACTTGATAGTACAAATTGGTCTCAGAGTTGAGGTTTACCCTACGGAACATGATTTTGCCAGCCACCCCGAGCGGATAATAGCGATTTGATATGACGATCGATCGAGGTATTGGGGGGTAAAGAACACGACATTACAATTATAGGACGATCTTTGAGTTGACTGGTTTCATAACCTGAGGACAAGATCTAAGAGTGGATTGTCTGAGAGGCCCTTTGTCATACTGGTTCCCAGATCCCAACTCTTTAGGAAGCCCGTCATTACTCTAGATCGAAAGTTCTACACCCTCGACGTCTTTGTCAAGAGTGAGCTAATCGATCTGTATTCTTGTCAAAGGTATGCTAATACAATATTTGATCATAGCCTGTAGATCGAAATTTTTTGAGGTGTGAGGAAGTTCTTTGCTGGCAGAGTAACGAGATGAAAGGGATGTTGAAGGTCGGCTGAGTCGCCCTTCTTTCCAAATGATCGGAAAACATAGTAAAAGGCGAGAGAGTCATTTGTGCCGCCCTTTCGGGTGAGAGAAACGTGGAGTTTGTGTAGGAAATTATTGACAAGAACAAGCCTCAATATGGGGTGAGTTTTTATAGGGGCGGATTCAGAGGTAACCCTTGATAGCCCTTCTCTAGCGTCATTTTGTTTAAGGTCGGCCACCAATGGTTACATTTTACGTTTATTAAAGAGGTTCAATCGGAGGTTACACTATAGTTATTGTAGAATTAAATTAAAGTATGTCTTTTAAAATATAAGTATATTCTTTGTTATAACTACAAAATTAGTCCTGCTAACATAACATGATTTCGAACACAACACCAGCGTTTGGACGTGGATTTGTGCTCACCTATAGATCATCAATTCTCCTTTCCAAATCAAACTTGTAGTTGTACAATTCAAACCACAGATAATCTCAAAAGCCCTTCCAATCCAAATATTTGTCCTAACAATTCCCTCAAAAGTCCAGACTTCTAATACTAATTTAAGTCTAAAAAGTGCAAAAGGTGCCCAGAGATTTAAATATTTTATTTATAGCCATATATTGAATGAGCTTCTTCTGAAAATTCCCTATAGAATGTGGACCAATTATCATCCTATAGAGTTTGTGTTGGTTCACAAAATTATGGATATCTCTGCGTGAGTCGAATTAATTGCAATTTTGTTTGATTTGATGACGGCCAATTCGGAATCACAGTGTTAGGTTGTAACGAAAGGGACTCGCTCGGCCCATCACACAAAGCAGAACCCAATGTAACGTAAAATTAAAACTCTTTACCCTATCTCTTAACATAATTAATAATTATTGAGTAAATTGTGAATCCCTATGATATAATATTGTCTGATAGTAAAATGTTTATAATATTAATAAATAACATCATATTTATAATATATAATATTTATCAATTGTGATTGGTTTACAAATATATACCAGCTCAGTATGTCATTGGAAACGTAACTGACTTTTCTTGTGTTATTTTCCTTTGCAAATAGGCCAAAGATCACGGACAAGTTTATAAGTTCCCTTGGAAACTTTCAAAACCGTTCTATTACACTATGTCAACCCTTTTGATGTATATGTGTCAATGACATGAAGTATCATTGGTATAAAACTCACATCACTACTAATGTCGTATTTCATTGGAAAATACTATAATAATATATTCGAACGAAAGTTAGGGGAGAAAACAGTGCAATCTCGCACAGATAAACGCACCATAAGAAGGGAAAGTTCAGATGAATTTCAAGTGAGGTTTCATTCAAAAATTAATTGGTGGAATGAGGAGTAGCCCATTAAACTTGTAAATTAGACTTATTTTCCTTATATAAAGGATGTGGGACAACTCACAAGTGATATTCTTAACGCGCCTCCTCACTTGCGAGTCCTTCATAAGAAGCTCAAACTCATATACGGAGTCCGGTGCCAAGTCCTACTAGAAACGGGCTGGGTAAACGGGTACATCATCGCACGGTCCCACATAGAACCGGCTTTGTATTAGAATATTCACTTGTGAGTCATTCCTAAGAAACCCAAATAGGTTGGAAAACGGGTACGGCATCGCACGGTCCCACATAGAACCGACTCTGACACCATATAAGAAACAAAGAAAAAAAACGAGTGCAGTCCCACATAGATGAAGCGCGCTGCGCACCATAAGAAGGGAAAGCTCAAATGAAGCCCAAGTGAGGTTCCATCCCAAAAACAATTGGTGGAAGGAGGAGTAGCCCATTATACTTATAAATTAGGCCTATTTTTCCTTTATAAATGATGTGGGACAACACACAAGTGATACTCTAACAACAACATATTTTTTAATGATATAGATTCAGTTGAAATTATTGAAAGGAAAATTTTACAGAAAATATTATGTTGGAATAGATTTTCATTGAAGTTTTTTCAATTAGAATAAATTTTTCATTGAAAATTTAAATAGAATTTGAGGAATCTAGCGACTATTTTTTCAGTCATTTTTTTATCACATGAATTTTTCTTGGAATATACAATTTTCATGTTCTTATCTTCACTCAATTTTAACAGTTGTAGTCGTCAAAATCCAACAAAAATTCTAATGGAAAACTTACTCCAACGCAATATATTTGTTGGAATTTTCATTTTAATCCATTGAAATATTTAACAAAAATAATAACATTAGAATATCCACTAGAATTAACATTGGGATTCTATTGAAAAATATTAAGTTGGAATTGTCCATTGGAATTTTAACATTTTCGAGAAAATTTAATTGTGGCTTTGTTGATGAAGAATGAAAACTAAAAATTGAGCACAGTAAACCTAGAGTGCCCCTTATATACTTGGGATCCAATAATTAAATTGTTGAAGTAAAAATTTGTTGGTAATTTATTGAGAAAATTTCGTTGGTAATCCGTTGAGAAAAAAAAAATCGATGGT